AATCTGGTAGCTGTAGTTGCGCAGAGTAGTAAACAGCTTCTTTAACTGTTAGCGTTGCTATCAGAGTTTCATCTTGCGTCACATATGCCTGATTTTTCAGGATAAAGAAATTAAACCTATTTTGACTTTGACACAGAGTTTAAAGAATGCAGGAGGGCATTTGCAGTATGTAAAATTTAGATGAATAAGATTTTTAACTTACACAAGTTCCATAAGAAAGTTTTTGCTTGTGACCATTGATTAGAATATCCCCACTCTGTCTCGTGCTGAAATCCAGTCGCCCTGATTAATCATGAGTATATAAACATGATTTAATTCGCGAAGATAACTAAACATAAACATCATATTTTGGGAACACAGATATATATATATACCAGCTAACGCGTCGAGAAGTGTAGATTTTCCAGAGCCAGAAGGACCCATTACAGCCAATAGTTGAGTTGGGCGAGCATAGCCAGTGACACCTTCAATTATGTTTTTGCTTCCAGTAGAAACAGAGACACACAAATCATTCCATGTCAAGAAAACACCTTCATTCGATTCTTCATCCCACATCTCCATAGAAAAATATACCAAGTATATTGTAGCTAAAATAATCAAATTTTAGAGGAATAATTGCGGAAATGCGTATATAAATGAAGTTAAAAAAGAAGGAAACTAGTTTATATGGTTACTTATAAAGTAAAACGCTATGCATGCATGCTATCAATTTTCAGCCATTACCGAATAAATAGGAATTATTAAAAGTAGGTAGCTTCGTAACGGCCGCAGATGAAGGATTACTTCCTACCTAATTAATCTCATTAATATATTAGACAGTAGTCATGTCCCACAACTTTCCTTTTTTGTGTGGTCTTATATTAGTGTGCAAAACACTGTGCCACAACTTTCCTTTTTTGTGTGGTCTTATATTAGTGTGCAAAACACTGTGCCACAACTTTCTTTTTTTGTGTGCTCTTATTAGTGTGCAAAACACTGTGCCACTACTTTCTTTTTTTGTATGGTCTTATTAGTGTGCAAAACACACTTATTTTTCTTATTTTCTATCGCTATCAAATACTCCATTCGTTTCACAAAGAATAAACTGTTTTAACTTGATACAGAGTTTAAGAGTATAAAGAATATTTTTAAATTCTGTGATCTTAAATTAAAGTTATGTCAATTATACAAAAAAAAATTTTGATTTTATGGCCTTAAACAACTCATGTGGAAATTGAAAATTGAAATGTTACCCAAAAAAGAAAGAGGTCATTATTATTCACAGACTAAAAAAGAAATGAGTTCATTCTTTTTTAAACAGAA